TCTGTCAGTCGATTGATGATCTAGAGTATTGGGTACACAGTACGATGAGCTTCAATTGAAATGAATTATTTCAGTTTTGTTTGACGTTTCGTTATTAATTATGTATCGTGTAAAACGATGATTTATTGATCTGGGCGGGAAATATAGTTTTGTTACTGGGAGAGACGTTTGGCGGAATGAATGGTTATGTTCTTGTGTTATTGATAGGACTTAATGATGAATATGAAGTGAATTTATTTTTAGTTGCAATAACATGTGTTATTATGGAATAAATAGTTTCTTTATGGGTTCTAATGTCTCTTAATAGAACACAAAATGTATCTGCGTAAAATTGAACGAAAAAAGACTCAATGCGTTTTAACTGTATTGACTGATTTTTGTCGCTTGTTAAAGCGAACGACGTATATTAATCGAAATATCGAAAAACAAGAAACATGGTAAAATTCTATGTATCAGTAACAAACATAACTATGTTCTATATGAAGTGAATCTTATTATTTTTCCATATAAAATAAACAAGAATTTATTGAAACATTTCACGCGATTACCAAGAGTTTTGAAATTGAAATATCAAACAGCACTTTGTCCTTTATTTAATTTTCGAATCAAAATAAATCTTTTAAACATACGTCAATGTGTTACGAAATGTTCACAAAGTTTGAATATTTTCACGAAGGTATAAATCAAATTATTTTGAAAAGAACTAGAGTAGAGTAGAGTACCTAAATTGTAATTTCTTTAGTAAACTTGTTTGCAGCATAAAGTTGTTTTTTGTCACAGGTTTAACCGAGTCTCGGAGACTTGGAGGTCGGTGACGTGGATATAGAAAGCTGGATCGTGTTGTGATTGATTAGATTGTGTGTTGATATGTTTGTCATTGAGATATTTGAAGTGAAAGTAGGGTTGACAACTAGGCAATCTACGAGTGCTACAAGCTACAATGCTGTTCTATAGTGTAAGTAGATGTAATATGATTTGCGATTTGTCAAACCATCCAAACATAGGATTTGGTTGGTTTAATATCTAGTAGGACAACTGAACATTATGCTGTTGCTGTTTTATCCTATATAATTAATCAATTAAAAGCTTAAAAGCTGTCTTTTAAAATTCAGAACCGTAATACGTAATCCATATACATCGTGGCAATATACCGTTATTAGAAAATGGGCTACAAAAAATGAGTTACAATCACAATCTATTGGGAAAATGTTAGATAATTCTAGAATTTCTTCTATTCTATTCTATCTTTTTTCTTTTTCTAGTAAGAAGTTAGAAGTTTGAAGAAGTTAGAAGTTCTAGAATTCTAATATCTATCTAATATCTAATATCATATAGAAGATAAAGAAAGAAACTTAGATTTTTGCAACATCTAGTTCTACGTTATCCTTGTGACAAATATTCGTTGAGAAATTAATTTCGGCCGGATTTTTAGTTGCCCTTCAGCTGTAGTACAAGTTGGGAATAAGTCACGGACTTTCTCTAATACTTGATTGTTTTAATTAAAGATTTGGATCGGACTTAACCTTTAACATATACTTGCTTCATTGTCTTACTATTGTATTATACATATTGCTACATATTATTTTGGTCCTTTTGATACGCAAATTGCCGTGTTGTCGTGAAGTACATTTTGAATTGTTAAGTTTGGCTATATTTAGATACCTACGTATGAAATTGCACTAATACAATAAAATAAATTATCCGTATTTCTCCATACCTGCTTTGAATTATACTTTTATATTATCGTATGCTCCTTCAGAAGTATAACTGCAACATATTAACCTAGATCCATAAAGAGATTCAATAAACTGGCTAGTAAGAGAGCTCGTGTAATATAATCGTGGGGAATCCGTGCTCGCATAGTATCAGTACAAATAGGTTGGGGAGCGGGGCAAGCTTAAAATAATAAAATCTGTCCGTTTAACCGAACCATTGTGGGGCAAATAGTGTGCGTTGTTAGGGAGCGTTTAGATAGACACTGTGCTTGCTTGTACAGGCTAGTTGGTAATGAGTTTTTGTAGAGAGAAATGAATTTGACGTGAGTTATTAGATCTTAAACTGTAATGATGTCTGTCAATTCGATTGCGTTTGTTAAGTGTTCAATAAATTTCAACATTACATAACGTAATATAACAAAACAGGACATAATTAATTACCTTAATAATTCTCAAAGGGCTACGCAGAGCTTTACCAGTTTAATGTTATGAGTTACATGAAATAGGAAGTGAGCCTTTTGCCAAACATTGTGCACAATATACTGATGTTTATCGACTCCTGAATCAATCACATATTTACCTCAAAATAGAAATCTGGTCCTTCCATTCGCCTTACTTTCCAAACACTCTCCTCACCACTAGCCTTTACCAAACGCTCCCAAAATCGCGGTCGCTTGGGAAATTACGCGGGGCAGAGGTAGCGCGGAGTATCAACGTAACATGTCACCCAAGGTCACCACGACCTGTACCTCGATATTACGTGCCTATGTGACAACAGAAAACTAAATTAACTTCACTGTCTTCTAATCTAGGTCTACATTAAAAAAAGTGAATGAATCACTTTTTTTAATGTGTCAGATTGTAAAACTGATAGTTTTAGAGAAGGATTATGATTTAAAAGCTAGAACATAGCTCTAGCTTTTAAATCATAATCCTTGGGTGAAACATACAGACCTACATTATGTACCTGTCATCAAAATGGGTGTCACGTAAAAGGTATACTTGTATGGGATATGGGGTGGGATCCAGGTAGACAAAGACTATTTTAGTGCCAAAGGTATCTTATATTTTTTTTATTTTACCTAAAAATAAGTCCACCATTATATACACATTTGTACATAACGAACGAACATAAGAAAAAAAATATATATTGCACTTTGACTTCAGTATAGTAATAGCATTTGAAGGAAGTAATGTAACGAAAAATATTTGTTAAAATACAAATACAAACACTAAGACACGACTAGTTTCAAGCCATGCTAGAGGCTCATATTCATGAGCAGCAACCGCGCCCCGCGACGCGGCGACTGTCGCGCTTCGAGTTCCTCGTCAAATAAGTATGTGAGTAAGCCAAAAAACATAATAATTAATTTTGAATGGCTCACGAAAGTTGTAATAAAAACATTAAGACATTGGGCTTGGTACCTAGCGCAACGATCTCCGGCCACCGTAAGTGCGGGTCTGCGGTTGGTGACCAAGGGTAGGTTGCCGTCTGATCAGAACCAGATCCTTGCGTACGGCACGTCGTGTTCCGCGTGCGCCTTTAAGAGCCATTAGACTACCACAGATGGGGCTTAATAAGGTTGATACCCGATACAGAGCCGCAGAAGGCCTTTTTTTTAAGGGGGGAAAATTATCGAATGACTGCTCCCGCCTGGATAAGGCAAGTCCGCGGAAGGCCTAACGGGTTGTCGGGGAGTAGGAACGGGGTGGTTTTTAGTCAGTGAGTGTCTGACACTCCGTCTCGCCTAACCTAAAGCGGCAGAAGTCATTGGATGATTTTCCCCATTCCCCACATTAAAATTAAATGTCTTCTATTATTTCCTAAATTAGTTTTAATTGTACAATTGACGTATTTGTGCTAAAGGCCAGAAATTAGATTCACACGTGGGTGTTCGACAGTACTAGACCTAAAATAGCCCGCTAAAAATAGAAAAGGTACATTTCATAGAAATTTTGACAGCATTAAAACATCTTCCACAAGATTTTCAATAAAATATTTCTTGTTACCTTTGCAAACAAAATTTCTTCAAAAAACATTGATATTTCTTGAGTTGACAGTTGTTATTTTTAGTGAAGCGGACCACGGAATATGAGACGAAAACTTTTCTTTTCTTATATTTCATTATAAACAGATGTAAAATAAATATTTCTAAGGGATTATCCAATACCAGTACTTGTCCGTAGCCATCTGGACCCTGTCTACCTACCTCTAGGTATTCATTAAAACCAGTTTAGTTAATTAAGTGCGAAATCATTACAAATAACTTTCCCTTTCGCATTCAAGCGACGGATTACGACGCGACCAAAGAATACATAATTAAATTGCAGACTTAATGTAAAAACCCATTGAACACCATAACACAAGACCACCTTACCCAGAGACTAAAATAACTCAGAACTGAATCATTTAATCACACTTTCATCTTATAACAGTGTCGAACGTTCTAGAAGCCACGTAAAACCACCCTTTAACAATGTAGCAACAAGTTTGACAACAAAACAGCCCTCCAAAGGCCTGGGATTAATTTTAAATAAGCCTCGTAAGACGTGCGTCGAATTATTTCTCACATAGACCAAGTTATCAAGGCTAGGTGTCTCTAGGGCTCTCCTGACGTCGGCCAGGGCTTAGCCAAAAAGGATTTTTGGGATTGAGTTAATAATGTTAGGCTGGATACGATATTTCTGGAACTCTATTGATGTATCGTTCAATAGGAATCCTTGTACGAGTCCCAGATCCTTGAGCCAATTCCCGATAATGTACCCAATTTATTGATAAATATCGCCTTTTAATGCTTCTACTAGTATTTATGTTTGTACAGAAAAATACTCTTATGATAGAATTTGAAGATGCTTTGTAAATGTCTAAATAATATTAACTAACAACGAAAGGTACCACCGCCAAGGTACAAACAAAACAAAGCATAAAACTACTTACAAATTAGAAGTAAACGTCAAGGAGTTTTGCACTACGTTTATTATATTTCTTAAACTTGGTTTGAAAAATGTTAAGCTTTGGCTCCTTTTAGTGGTAAGTTAGTTTGAGTTATTAATGGGTGAGATCAAAGGGAAATATTCACGTTTCTCTGAAACTGTTACATTACTAAAGTGCTTGCTTGCAAAGGTAGTCCATTACGGCTACATTTAGATCTCAGGTTCCCCTTTTTTGCATAATTTTTAATGTCCGATATATTTAGCTAGTCACCATTTTGTTTTTAGTCGAGTGTTCATACAGCAAATGTATTTTAGAAACAGTATTATTTTTCAACTAACACATTTTCGGTAAGTTCAGATGAATGTAGAACTTCAAACCTAACTTGTTAGTTTCATAATTACACTGTATGGTTTTTCTAAAATTATTTTGTTCTGCTTATTTCATTGCAATGGTGAAATGTGATGCCTTTTTCTATTTGGGTTTGTAAACGGATAAAAACAGAGCGTTAAGTATTACAAAAACGAGATTTATGATATCATCTTGATTTTTGAAAAAATATGAGAGGTAAATTTGAATTGATCGTACTCTGTCGTCACTAAACCACAGTAGAGGGAACCTGACATCAATGTTTACTCTGCATGTTAATTGAACGCGTTATCATTAAACGAAGGAATATTTCCCGATATCTGGTTAAACTTCTTGGCAATGACATCACATTTTTTGAAGTAATTCTTCAGGAACGTCTCGTAATCTATCAGGCTGTTGTTGAGAAACACGATCCAAGTCACCATGCCTTGGTATCTGTACATTTGGGGATCTGGCTGTTCTTCCAAAATGTACATTAATCTCGGAATGATCTTATGTATTAAGGTATACATTGAGTTTTCAGTTCTATTGATTGTGCGTTGATTTCGGTGGTTGTGCTCCCAGCTCTGTAGCTGCCGAGGGTCCTCTGGGACGGGGTCTTGACAGTGTGCAGTGAGGTCGTCCGGTCTCCACTCAGTGGTATTTCTTGATTCTCTGTCTGTTGCGCTAGATGTTGCGCTTGACGGCGTTCCACTGAAAGCGATAATAGAATAAATTCTTCTAATTTCACACCATAATTTATAATTTGTGTACCCATTATGATCATCGCGTACATTAGGTGATGGTATCTTAACATTAATGATACTCACGAATTCTACGATAAATAGCTTCAATTTTTCGTTCAAATATTGTGCCCATCAGAAGGAACATAACTACAGCCAATATGACCGGGCCGAAGTACCACCATTCCACAGTATTCCGGCGTTTCTGTGGAAAATGGTATACAGCATCTTACGGTCACAGTTACAAAAATGGGCCTATAAAGTTATTTAAATAAAAAACATGAAAACAGAAACAAAACTGACTTATTGATGCATAACTTCTAAGAAAATTTAATCTTCGGTATAATTACTTTACTTAAGAGACTTTGTAAATTCTTCAGTTACATGAAAATAGCTGGCATTATAATAGCTTAGCCTTCGCATTTAGCGTTCAGTGCTCCGATTGGCTGGCTCCAAAGAACCAACCAATAAGAACGCAGAATACGGTCTCCTGTACTACTCATTCCCCACCCTAACTTCTGCAGTTATCACAAGCATACAAGTATACAATATACACACATTGGTCAGAAGCCAGGCAGCAGCGCTCTCTGAGAAACGTGAGGCTTTAAAACTGCGATCTGCAAAACGCCTGGCGAGCAAGGACATTATGGCAAACCCTCTTACGTAGACATCCATTGTCCCAACTGTCACGGGCTGTCGATGTTGATGATGACGATGAAAAAAATACAAGAAAAAGGTATTGTTAAAATAGTTTTTGATCTTACCAATACGCTTTCTGCCGATATTATAGGTGTGTTCATATCAGAGTCCAAGAAGCTCTCAATATAAATCTGCATATATACAGTTTGCGGTAGTACATGTTTCGATAATCTGCAATGTTATACCTTGAGTGGTTATTTTGGTTGAATATGCCTTATGCATGGACAGGTTATTACAGTCCACTTCTAGATTATAGGGCTCTTCTACATAATGTCGTCGTGGCCCGGAGGTTTAAGACGCCTGCTTCTCATGCATGAGGGTGCTGGTTCGAAACCTACCAACGGTAAGTACCAATGTGACTTTTTCCGAGTTTTATGTACTTTCTAAGATTATTCAGACATCACTGACAAACGGTGAAGGAAAACATGAGGAAACCTGGGCTTATAATTTCTAATTATAAGTTTGTAATCGCCAACCCGCATTGAGCAAGCGTGGTGAATATTGCTCAAACCTTCTCCGTGTGAGAAGAGGCTTTGCTCAGCAGTGGGCATTTATAGGCTGTTGATGAAATGAAATGACATAAGGGGGTTTCTGATAATCTTATGTTGGAGATCGTATTTTTTTTTTATATTTGGTTGGTTGACGTTTGGCCCCTATCTCGCCTGGTGGTAAGCGATGATGCAGTCTATGACGGAGCACGTCGCATAACGGGTGGTTATACCCTTCAAGAAACTCAGACTCTGGCAAAGAATTCCACTCATTGGCAGTACGCACAAGAAAGCTTGATGTGAAGCGCTTCGAGCGTGTGGGTGGTACATTTACCATCAAATCAAAGATCTTAATGCTAAACGTACTATAAAGTAGTAGCTTAAGTGAGAATATAATGTAATAACGCTACCACTAATGCAACATGTGGAAGCAAATCTACAGCATTTGTACCATATAGGGTCGTTGAACTCGATCTTTGTACTAACCAGATGAAAGTCCTTAGGTTCTCTCTTTGAACTGTTGGCAGTTCGTTACTTCTTGTTACAGAAAGACTGTTTCGTGCCCATTTTTATTATTTTTATAGATTATTTTGTAAATACAAAACTTGCGGGCATGACCCCGGCTATTGTTATGACAGCTGCCAAATTTTTGACATTTACTGAATGTTGATTTTTTTCGCATTAAGGAGGTTTTACTTCAAATTCATAGAGATTTTTCCAATCGAGCACCAATCCGTTTCATTATTAACTAAATAAATACACCAAAGTGCATTTCAAAGCCCAACCTTCCTTCCCTAAAATATTGCAATGTTCGAATAATATGATAATAATTATGGTTATAGAAATTTATATACATATACTGAAATTACAGACACTTACATCTTAATCAAAAATAATATACACAACATGGTACACCAAAAAATAATCTTATTCATTCTCTTTTACATAAAAATCAAATAGAAAAATATGCAACAAACCTCCCGGTTATACGATCGTGAATATCGTGTGCACCCGGCTGTCAGAGCCGGGTAACCCGGATAAAACCCGGTTGCAAAGCGGAAAGAAACCGTAAAGATTTAACAGACGGTTTATGGGAGAAAGAAAAATTGTGGGTGAAGGAAAGTTTCACATAATGATTGTTACATCTTTGGTATTATTCTATTCTTTTCTTTGATCGACAAAAGATTACGAAAGCTTAGCGAGTTATGTGAGGGACGGGAACTGATTTTTGAATCTCCAGATTTATCTTTGCTCGACTTACGATTTTATTAAATTTTAATGGAAATATTTTATATTTGTGTGAGATGATGTAATAACATAACGCTTTATCTTATAAAGTTGATTTTTTTATCAAAACGTGTTATGTTTTTGGAAGACATGTAAAACACAATTTTTACATAATTGTAGACTAAAATAAACATCTAGAAATATAATGAACACTAACCATAAACACATCGTTCCCTTGTATAACAATCGCAACTTGAATAAGCATTAAGGCCCCAATACATTATTTACTCACCCGGATTATCCGGCACATCCCCGTATCATCTACAAGAGACCCTCAATAAACAACATCGAAACAGTTACATGTTTTACACAAATATCCTCAATATCGACTAAGTTCACATTAGAACCTCTTAAGATTCGTCCCACGTTGGGCGCCAACAAAAACAATCTACACGCAACAAATCCGACGAATGTTCGATGGAAACCGGCTAAAACTGGTTGTAACTGGACCGGGCCGGTTTCGACCGGATTATACTAACGGCTCCTAATTGCTACGTGGCTGGAATAGGAACGCGGTGAGAAATGCCTCAACTGATAGTCTCGCTGTTAATGTAGAATTTAGAATGGTTTATTTAAATGGGGTATTTTATGGTGCTGTTTTATTCTTTGGGAAGTTTATGGGGTTGGGAAGGAATGGGTTTAAGTTAAAGGGTTGTTTGCTTGCAACGTTGGTTGGGTTATGTGGTTTAATAGCAATTAGTGACTTAGCTTACATCTTTCTTTTCACAATGACTATACTTTTTGTAAGTTGGATTTTATATTGAAACTCCTTTTTACATCATAGTAGTACCTCTTCAAGTCTTTAGCAATTAACAGTTCTATTCAAGATCCTAGCTTCCCCCGTATCTATCAATTAGCATTAGATAGCAAATACTATTTATACGATTACCAAACGATACCTCTCCTAACCTCTCGCGTGGAGATAAACTTAACTTACCCACAAACGATGTTAATTGCTCGTTAGGTACTACTCGCACCTAGGGCCAGGGAGCGAGAACATTTTATATTCACGTGCCAATTTCAGTAATGAAATATATTTTATTAAAACTGTTTTTAGTGGGTTGGTAGAGTTTCAGAGTTGGATGGCATAGTGGTTCGGCAACTGGCTGAAGCGCTACGTGTTGTGTGTTCGATTTTTTGTTATTTAGGTTCATCCACATATGGTTGTATCGAGTGAAAGTGTGATGTGTATGCGAATAGGTGTTTGCAAACATACGTCACAGAATAATATTGTAGAGGTAGTACGGACTCACACAACCCATAACAAAAAAATCTGGGTGTAGGGTCATATTTAAAAAAACTGGTTTACAGCCCTCTGATAAACATTGTACCTCCATTATCCATTTAAACTTTTACTTTAACTTATTAATCTCAGATTAATTTAAGTTTTTATTTTGTTAATTTACAGCTGTTAACTCTTGTCTTTCTTGTACAGCCTTTTTATGCATGTGGTGTTTACCTTTAAGTGATTGTAACACTAAATTATGTATCTATTGCATGTAACCTAATATTTGATCTAGTGTGTACAATTCGGAGTCGCGGAGAACCTAACGGGTTACCGGGGCTCTGGCTCGACGTGCAGGAGAAGGAACGGGGTGGTTTTTAGTTAGTAAGAGTCTGACACTCCCTCCCGCCTCACCCAGGTGGGAGCAGTCATTCGATGATTTTCCTCCTTTAAAAAAAAGGGTGTACAATTGTTGGTGAATCAAAAAAAAAAACAAAAAAAAATATTCTCTTGTCTGTTGAAAGTTACGGCCATAATGTGTTTTATTCAACAGATAAGAGGATATTGAATTTTTTGAATATAACTCAAGAGTAGGTAGATACGCAATCATCAGAGAAAATCAGTTTGACTTTATTAAAACCAGATTATCGACGCAACCAATTACTCCAATCTATGACTTAATAATGCATCGCAAATAAAAAAGTAAAGCAGTCAATATTTTGACAACCTCTGGCACAGGATATCTGGTGCTTCCTCCAACCAACAGAATTATACGACGGAAGGATTTTAATGGCAATGTATTTTCGGTCTCCAAAATGAAATTCATTGTGGCCAAAAATGAGTCGCCATTGTTTGCTCGGATAAAAACAGCAGGAAAATTACCGCGGCCGACTCGATTGTGCCTGTCATTGTAGGCTCACTGTTCAACAATATATATCGTTGCGGTAAGAAACTTATCGAATTTTGTTAAGCAATTTTCACTATATTGTGTTTTAATCTACGAAGACATATGTGATTAGATTAGATTAGATTCCTGTTTCATTGCTCATAGGGGTTTTATTATTATATACTAGTCATAATTCCAAGCTCCTTGCTGTTATTAATATCATTATCAGAGCAAAACGCCTGATAAATAATATATTGCTCAACCTGAGACTCGACGCCTGCTGATGCATTGTCATTACACTTTATTTCATAGAGATTTTGGTATAGAATCATATATATTATTTAGGATCAGAATTATAATCAGAATATTTCAGTACATTTTTAACCTGAAACACAGGCTTGGACCTAGTTCAGGTTTCACATATTTTTAGACTTTGTTTAGATATTAAGTTTTTTTTTTTAAATAAAAACGTTGCCCCACATTAGGATTTTCTCCTGTGTCGTGGGTGCATTTACAAACATACAAGTTCACATACACAATCACACCTAGACCCGAAACAACAATTTATGGATTACACAAAGTGTTGTTCCGTGCGGGAATTGAACCCGCTACACGTTGCACGGCAGCCGGTTGCCCAGCCACCGCACCAACCGTGCAGTCAAGATTTATTTTGTAACCTGGCTTTTTACACCAAATAAACATTTTATTTATTATATATTTATTATTATTAAAATAATACATAATAAATAATATAATACGCCCATACATAATGGTGCTACAAAAAAAATGTTCGCTATATTTTGCTGTGAGGCGAAAAAATATTAAAGTGCTTAATTAAAAATAAAATTAAACAAACAAATAAAATAAATGAAAAAATGTTGCTGAAACAAAGGAAATATTTAAAAAAATCCAAAACAGATAAACCCATCAAAACCAAATTAGAAACAAAACTAAATTTTATTTATTGTTCGTGTAGATATATAGTACAACTTCGTTATTTGGTCGGATATACCAAAATTGAAGGTTTTTTGAGTTGGGACTATGTTATTGTGTAGTTGCA